ACCATACCTACTGTGAAGCATGGGGGTGGAAACATCATGCTTTGGGGCTGTTTTTCTGCAAAGGGACCAGGACGACTGATCGTGCAAAGGGACCAGGACGACGAACACTTGGAAACACCAGATTCATGACCTCCCGGTCCCAAAACACTCTCTATTCCCTTCCTTTCTTTGCTATAAACTGTAAATTTGTTAAATATACAGATGACATTACCTTTGTCTTAATATATAACATTAACCTGGATTGTTCATTTTCACTTTATATTATCATAATGAGTTCTTCTAAATATTCTTTGGGCTCACAAAATGAGACTATCTGCTTTTCTCAAATTGTTGTATTTTATCCTCTACTTTTGGTACCACCTGCCATCTCTTACAATCCTACTATTCTTACAATCAATTCACTCTAGAAGTTATACTTGGCAAATATTCCTGAACTGCAATTCCCAGCATCCTTTATTATTCACCATCCTGGTGAGGCTGAGACTGCTGGGAGTTGTGGCTGGTTCAACAACATCCACATTGACACATATTATTTGAGTCTGATGAAGTGATGTGTAGGTCAAAATATAATATAGGCAATGGTAGAATAATTTTAGAAATAACAAGGCAACTTTCTCCAACTTGCAAATTCCTAGATGTGTTGGGATCAGAACTCCCAGAATTTCCATTTTTAGAAAAGAGAATGTGTTGACTGTCAATGAAGCAACAGCAACAGAAAACTTCTGTCTCTGTGCATGGTGAAATTAAAATATCTGGGGACAAAAGTAGTCATTCTGCCCAACAGTTGCTAATTTATGTAGGTGACTGTCCCCACAATTGGGACAACAAAGGAAGATCTTGAGATGCTTCCAGCCAAACCTTTCCTTCTAATACAGGGCTGTATTACGTCTTTTTCAGCAGCCGTAGGCTAAGTCAGGCCATTGCAGCCTCCTGGCCCCTCCTGCCGCCTTCCTAATCCGCCTGTCTCACTTCCTTTGAGAGCTTTCCAGCACGCACTGAGCTTTCCCTTGGCGAGGCCCTCCTGACAACGGAGCAGACAATTGCCATAGAGACCGGGAACAGCTCAACCCAAGCCAACACAACAGTCAAACTAGGATCCCAGGTTGGCAAGAAAAAGCAAGCAAGCAAGCAACATTTACAGGTAGGAATTAAACATTGCTGAAAAAAAAACAGCAGAATCTGGTTTGAGGGGCAGAGGGTGGATTATACAGTAGACAGGAGGGACTGAAAGCTTTTTTTTCAATGTCTGTTCACTGGAATGGACAGAAACGGAATGAACGAAAGTTTTGTGGCATCTTACATTTACTCTTCAAGCTGTTTCAAGACTTTCTCACTTTAATAAACTAAAAGGACTGACTAATTGGAAACTAAAGGAAGTGTACATACAGATAATATCTTGAATATGATCAGAAGAGTTTTCCCAACACGACCCACAAAGCTAGAGCGCAGAGCTAGACATAAACCCTTCCTTCTCTCTTTGATATAAACATATCCACTTGCTCACCATTTATACTCAAGAATTAGAAGGCACCATTCAGCCACCAAGTCCAATCTGAACCTCAATTATAGATTGCCTCGTGTGATATATTTGAGTTGCAAGTTGTTTATCCCTGATCTGAGATAAAATGGAGAGTATTATAATAATATATATACTAGGTTCATCATTTGGCATTGCAAACACATCACCAGAGCAGCTCACAATGGATTCAAGGAAGCATTGACCAAACTGAAAAGAGGACATTTTGTTGGAGTACCTGCTTTGATTGTTTTTGAACCAAAATTCGGGCTTAATCAATTAGTGATTGTAATTATGTCAGATGGGAGCTTTTGAGGGCTGAACAAGAGGGAAGAAATCAGGGAACCTGACCATCCTTTTTCCTTCATCCTGTAGATCCTTTTTCTCCCATAACAAGAACTGCGGCATGGAGGGAGCAGGCACTGGAACGATTGCCAAACTCAGAGCAAAGTGCTTGGAAAGAGGAGCTTCTGGAATTAAGGGACTAGCCAGGTACAAGCTGTGTGAGGTTATCCAAGTTTTCTGAAAATCATTTCATCCAGATTATTCAAGTGGTCCCAGATTATTCTGTCCCCACCCCACCCCATCTGCCCACCCCTTTTCTTCCTTGTCTGAGGTTTTCTTTTTAATGCTTCTGCTTCATTCGTTCTGCTTCTTATTCACCTTCTGAAGAGGCAAGGAACTGCAGATAACTCCAATACATCCAGTTCCCCAATGGGAAATAGTATTCTGGCTTCTAAATTCAGGATTACTTTATTAATCATAAAGTAACTAACTTTTGTTGTTTGCATGAAATACATAAGTCATTCAGGGAAGTGAATTCTATAAGCAAAAGTATAGGCTGAACTTTCCCATGAATTTCTCCTTCTCTCTCTCACACACAGACACTCACTCACTCACTCACACACTCACTCACACACTCACTCACACACCTATGCTTCATTTCATTCCTTGCAGATTTTTCCGCATCATGGATGATAATGGCAGCAAAACTTTGGATCTGGAGGAATTTGTGAAGGGTCTCCAGGATGCTGGGGTCCCTTTGGAAAGAGGTGAAGCGGAGGAGATTTTCATCCTCTGTGATAAAAATAAGAGTGGTACTCTGGACTTCACTGAGTTCCTGCAGGCCCTGCGGGTGAGTAGAACAGCTATCCACCAGGACATCTGAATTAGCTGGCTGAGCTGCCACAGAAGGTCTGAGGACATGTGAGGAAGACAGGTGGCCATGAGAAGCCACAGCTTCTCCTATTATTTGTTCTCCTCCTGGCCCTCCCTCAGCAACTGGCATTCAGGGTGGATTGCCCTGTAAGAACATAGGAAAAGCCCTGTTAAATGGGACCAAGGACCCAACTAATGTAGCATCCAGATTTTAACTGACTGTCAACCACACCAATGGGGAATTCAGAATCACGAAGATCAGAACTAATTCAGTGTTCTTAATCTGTGATATATCCCTCCCATATGTGAAGGTTCTCTTTTCAACTAACAGCTGCCAATGTACTAGTCTCATTCTTTTAACAGAGATGGGGAATCTCTGGCCTAATCCTGCCCACCAGACCAGACCCAGGGCCTTGTTTGAAGCCCATATCCCTCCCCTACTTTCTATTTCCTCTTCAGAAATGTGAATTGCGAGGTGCTTCTTTGGTCTGAATCAACATTTCCCTTTGTCTAGAAGGCCCGTGGTAGTTCAGACTATGTTGCATCCAATTTTTCAGTATGTTTCCTGCACTACCAGGGAAAAGCCACGAAGCAAGGTACAATGGCAAAGGCCTTCTCTGGCCACTAAAAGTCTGGAGATTCTATTTAACTATTGTCGCTGATGACCACTGAGAAATATGTCCACCATGAATCTGACTAAAAAATAAGGGAATTCCAAAGGGCTTAACTCCTCACTGCTTCTCTCTTTAGCCTCCCATGTCCAACACCAGGAAAGACATAATTGCAAAGGCATTCCAGAAACTGGACAGGACTGGTGATGGGTTGGTGACGGTGGAGGATCTTCGTGGGGTTTACAACAGCCAGTCCCACCCCAAGTTCAAGAGTGGAGAGTGGACAGAAGATCAGGTTTTCAGTGCCTTTCTGGAGAGCTTTGATTCCCCTGATGACAAGGATGGGAAGGTGAACGGCCAGAATGATCTCTTGGTGTGGCATTCTGAGAGTTGTAGTTCCAGCCTATTTGAAGACACCCATTTAGGAAAGGCTGTTCCAAGATATACAATAAAACCTTGAAGGAATTAACCATTGGGATGGATGGGATGTGTGTTACTTCCAAATGTCCATTAAATCTAAATTTAAAATTTGTGTCAATTCATATTGTTTGCAAATGACGTGAGTTGATGCAAATGACATAAATTGGACCATTTCAGTACATATGTCGGTATGCAAATGATGTAAATTGATAGAAGTATTTTAAATTTAAGTGAATTGTTTGAACAAGTTTGGATAAAATGGACGTAGTCCATTATTTGGGGGAGAAAGCCAGATCAAATATTGCTCATTGCATCTGAAGTCCATAAATGGAGGTCTGTTAAACCAAGATTTTACTATATTTGCAAATCATAAATCATCACTGTGCAGGACCTTTTAAGACTCTAGGGTAACAGAGAACAGAATGTTTCTGAACAGAATGTTTGTGAACAGGACCTTTGTGAATATTGTTTTTCTTCTCACTGCATCCTTTGCCATGTCATTCCCCCCCCCCTCTATTAATGTGAATGGCGTAATACTACTACTATTATTGGCAATCCCAAATATTGAATTCTTAGGGTTATGTTTTAACTAACAGTTTTACTGTCTTGAAATAAAAATATTGCTTTGCATAAGCATTTCAGATACTGAACCATAGCCCTTCCCCTAAGAGGTTCTGCCATTATGCACAAACATTAAAATCTACCCCATATTTCTCTGTAGATCACATCTGAGGAATTCCTGAACTACTACAGTGGAGTAAGTGCCTCTATTGACAGTGATGACTATTTTGTCGACATGATGAAAGCGGCATGGAAGCTGTAGAGGAATCAGGTGTCTGCATTCCCTCCTGAAGCATAGTCAACTTTGCATAAAACGTTCTGTACTAAACTGGAATTTCCTGGGACATTCTAGTGCAAAGTAGGTTTATGACTTTGGCTAACAAGAATCCAGCTTTTACATGCAGCAGACAGATGATTAAAAGAAAGAGGTCCCTCTAAATTGCCTTCTATTAAGATGCTGTAATAGAAAGTTAACTATAGCAGAGGGGAATCTGGCTCTCCTCTGACTTCTATCCTTCTTTTTTTCTGAGTTTTCTACTTAAGGGCTTTTTAGAAATCACTAAACTATGACTTCCAACTAATGCTGGTCAAAGACCATAATAATGGAGTTCAAGATCCCTCTTGGCCACAATGGCTGGGATTTGCTGGGAGCTGTAGTTTGTCAGCTCTCTGGAGAGACACAAGTTCCCAGTCCCTGAAGACTTATTCTCTACACAGAACATTAGCATTTTCTAACTTAGCTGCTATGGGTTTGTCTATTGGTGCAGGACTCTACAACTTAATTCTTGTTATGCATACTGTAGACCAGAATAATGGGTTAAACTTTTATATACTTTCCTGGAAATGGTTAGACTTGTTCCTGAATAAAAGATTAATCAATTCCAACTTGGTTGCTTGTTATATCCAGAAGGGCATAAAAGTGGTATATGGTAAGGGTGGAGAATTGACATTAGCATCAGCTTAGGAAGTACACCAAGTGGTCAGGAATGATTGGGAATTATAGTCCCACAAATTCAGAATCAAAGGTATCCATCCCAGACTTGAAGCAGTTGAAAAACATCTGGCCTTATAAAGATTTCTAAAAGACACCTTCTGACTTCTCTCACCATTGATTACACTGCCATCCCAGGATCATCTCCCCCGCTCAATAAAGCAGCACAGCAGAACTTGTATCTTCCAAATATACCTCTGCTTTAAACCTTTAACATTTTACAACTGACTACAGAGAGAGTTCTTTAATTAAGTTTAATTAGCAATCATCATGGAAAAGTCAACATCTCCAAGTCAACTCTTGGTGACTTAATGGATACATCTATATAGTTTTTTTGGCAACAATTTGAAAGTACAGTAGTTTGCCATTTCCCCTGCTAATTTTTTTTGTTTAATTTCCATTTTCCAGTTTAGCCAAAACCCTGGTCTTCTCTGAAAGTCCCCTATCAAATACAGAACCAGGCCAAACCCTGTTTAGCTTCCCATCCAGCCAAGACTGGCTAGGTGCTACCACATGCTAACATAATTGGGAAAAAGACTCACCTAACTGTATGGCAGTAATGGTGTGGAGATTTCTCCTATGACTAGCAAAACTGGTAACAGTTAAATGAAGTTAGACTATGGAACAGTGTCAAACTTGAATCCTTTACAGTGGCGGCAGAATTTGGTCAACCTGGGAGGTAAATTGTATGTTTTTTGATAAAGCAGAGTCAAGCTAACTTTACTTCCTGGTGCTTTCCCACCAGACTGATTTCTCTGAAATGAGTGATTCACATTTTATCTTTGTGAATGTATCTGGCATGTTAATGCTTAATTCCAAGGATAACATGCACAGGTTCAAAACTCAAAAAGCTGATCTTGGTCAAGGGATGAAAACAAGGAACCTTCGGTTGGGCTTTTAGCCCCAGGGCACCCCAAGCTGACACAGGGCTGTGGATGAGCAACAGGAGGTAAAAATTGGATTCATACATATTATGCCATACTTCAACTATAGTTTATTGAATCATCCATCACTGGATTGGTTTGTGTGCTAAGTCAAACCCAAACAAATCTCATTATAGCTTAGCATGATCTATAACAGATTTTAGCCTGGATCCAACAATGAGTTTCATTTAACAAAAAAAAAAAAAAATACTCAAGTAGTCCAGTAAAGAATACTGTTTACATACGTCATATTAAACCAAGGTTTGGTTAATTATAATTCACTGGCTTAACACATTTAGCTTAAAATTACATTACAGCTTAGCATGGTAAGTGAAGCCAACTAACTTGAAATGAAACCAGTTCTGGAATCTTTTCGGTGGACATTTCGCCAATAGATGAGCTCCAAGTCCCAAATAGCCCAGTATTTTCTTCCACTGTAGCCCACCTGATGCCTATGCCAACAAGGCTTGAATACTTTAACCCCTCCCTCAAAAGTTAAGTTAAAAAATTAACTTTTTAAAAATCCACGAACATTAAACTGAATGCGCTTCTCAATATTAGAAAGCCTCCTTTAAAAATTTAGTAAGAGTACCTCAGTAACTAAGTCTGGCTTCTTGACTGAAATAATACAACCAGATCTGATCCCAGCATATTTCTAAATCCAGCTTCCTGTTTGCAAAAGTGAATAGCTGGATGTTCCAAGGGAGAAACTCCAGGATGCAGAAGTGGCTTGAGCAGAGCAGATTGGACTCAGTGGCCTCCATAGCCCCTTCAACTTTGTTCTTAAATGACCCCTTATTGTTTTAAATAATCTTAATTGCTGTTGTTCTGTCAATAACCATACCAGGTCACACCAAGGCAAAAACAGCAACTGTTCCCCGAAAGGGCTCATGAGAGACTTCCAAGAAACCCCGACCATAGCTAGTAATGAATTATCTGTGATGGAATGTCACTTTGATTCAGAGAGGGGGAAGCAAATGCCAAGCCATTAAAGAAATCTGAATCCTGGTGAGTTAGAAAGTGTGAGAAAGAAACCAGTAACTCTCACTTGATTGTGTTAGGTATAAGTTGCAGTAAAGTGCCTTTGACAGGCTTTCAAGATTCTGTTACAATACCCAAAATGCATTAAAGTACATTTCAAGATTCCTAGCAACTCCTGTTTCCTGACCTTGCCTATCTCAAAGGGCTGACATCAATCTTGAAAGCCTGCCAAGCTTCAACTTATATCTAGCACAAGTGGGGTTGTTCTGAATTTCACATTTTCAACTTTCTCAGACTCAAATGTCTTTTCTGTAACAACTTGGTATTCTCTTTCCCTTCCATGAATCAAGCCGACATTCAATCACACCATCTCATCATCTCTGAATTTTGTGTTAGCTCTTTTTAGAGGCACTTTCGTTAATGGCCATAAGATGGCAGAGAGTTCCTCGGTTAGAGCCTTCCCACACAATCACCTATTTCCACAAGAAATGAAACTATGATGCTCCTCTCCTGTTCTCCTTATATCATAGAATTACACAAAGCAGAACTTTTGTTACAAGTTTTTAATGTAATTTCCAAATACATCTGATATGACAATTGTACAGAAATCTTCCAAAACACATGGGTGTTGTCTGTTTTTTTTTGTTTTGTCTTGTTTTACTTATCACTAATTGGCTAACGGCTTGAAGAAGAAAAGAAATTTATAAAGTCTGTGTCTGGCCCAGCCAACTCTCCATCTCAGGAAAGCGCCCAAAACGCGTTTCCAGTTACTGTGCAAGGAACAGAGCCTGTGGCTGGTCTAGAATGAAACGTAGAATCTCCTTCTCCTTGCCACAGGCGAGTCATTCAAATCCAAACCACTGTGTCCATAAATAGCTGCCAGATTATTTTTTTTTAAATGAACTCTGTGGGTAACTGTTTAAACATTCCATTGAATATTAACATCTCTAGAGAAACCAGCCAAGCTCTTACCCTAGACAAGTTTGGGTACCTCCTTCAAATGTCATACACACAAACACACACATCCCTCTTTCACACAATCACATGCATACCAATGGAGGATCCTCTTAGCTCCAGATGTTCCACAAAAGCGAACAAAATAACACCCTATTCCCATCCCACTCATCACATACCTGTTATGCCAAAGTAACTTTTTAAAAACCAGATGTGCATCCACTGTTCTAATTAACTGTCTTAAAAAGGGGGTGTCTCATTAGCACAAGTGGGAAATTATTCTCCCTAAAAGCAGCACAACTGCCTGAGGGTTACAATCGTATCAGTCTTCAGTGTTATTCAGTAGGTGGTTTCTATGTACATATCTGGTGCATTTCTCCTGATATGAGAACTGAAATATAAGGGGAGAGGGAGAAAGGTTACGCAAAAAAATCTGGAGAGGGCTGCACACATGCACGGCTATCCGCTGTCTCCCCCAGTCAGGGAGAGTGAGAAGAAAAGAACCTTTTGTTAGCCTGAACCTCTTCCAAAGGTGGCAAAGAGAGGAGAAATGACCCAAGGACAGACTCCTGAGGCCTGATGAGAATTTTCATCCATTACACAAAGGAGGCAATTAGGGTAGAAAACCTGCCTATGTTCCCCAGTTGTTTCTGTGACTCAGGATTTCGTATTACAATGTCCTCCTTGTCTCCTACAGGACAGTTTGAAAAACAGGTCTCCACCCTCTTCTTAGTTTCAGGGCTCCCTTTGACAAGATGAAAAGAGGCTGCCTTTGCGCTTCTCAACCACCTCAGGCAGAATCAGACTGTGCCTTTTCCCAACTGTGTCGCATTATCTTCATTGCAAATGGCTCAACTGAGTAATGTTCCTGTCAAGACCAAGAGGGGGAAAAAAAAAAAAGGCCACAAATGCTTCTACAGAGCTAGTGAAAGCCTCCTGTTCCGATGGATGTACCACTCCACAGAGTCATCAACAGGAAGTCACCAAAGCATTCTGAATCTTTATGGCCTTTGCCCAAAGATGCTGCTGCCCAATGTATTTGTCATAATCCAGCTAAAGCCAGAAACAGCTCTTTTTAAGCCAAACTTATTAGAAGAGGTTTCCCAATTCAGTAGAGCACTCTGGACACATCTCAATCAAGCAAACCCACAGAGCCAGAGGCAGCCAACGTTGATACTTATATAGCTTGTATTTAGGCACAAACTGAAGTTGCTTGCTGACCAAGAGAAAGCGCTCAAAGCAGTACCTATTTTTCAGTAGTTGGCCAAGATTTGGAAGAGCAGCCCTCCTGTTCTCAGGACAATGAGGCAGCTGTTTCCTAATCAGCTGTTAAGCACCTTGGCAAGGCAAGAAGGAAATAAAAGGTTATTTGAAAGAGGATTAAAAACAACCTGGTATATGAACACCTGCTATATATGTACACGTGTGTGCCTGTGTAGGTATGTCTATATACACAGTGGCTTCACTCTCCTTTAAATAGTAACAGAAAGAGAACAGTACAAAAACAGAAGGGGCCCACTTGGTCAACACACAAGAGTATCTTATTAAAATCTAAAAAAAAGTTATCGCCACATTTGAAGTCCCAAAACGACAACAATAATGATAACCAGAAAAAGTAAGGAGTTGTTAGCAAAAACAAGAATAATAAAAAAAACACCCCCTTTCCCACTCCAGAGCTTAAAGTCTTTCCCCCCACCCCAAACTCAGCGAAAGTCTTATTTTCAACAGCCAAAGTGTTGTTTTTAACTTCCAGGCGAAACAGAAAAGTAGACCCCCAAAGAGGTGCCCCTCAGACAAGTAACACAGTTGTCTGCAAAGTTTCCAAAAGGGCAAACGTTTTTTTAAAAGAAAAGGTCTTCCAGCTGAAATCCGGCTTTTCTTCAGAAATGGTGGGAGAGGCAGAAACCAGGGTGGGTGGGTAGGGATTTTAGGAAAGAAGACGGCAAGAAGAGACTGTGCTGGAAGGGTCCATGGCAGAGGCCAATAAGCTACTGGAGTTGGGGACGGAGGAAGAGT